TTTTTATATTGAGGGAATTTTGACCAAAATTCAATTTCTCACTTTTCGACGTTTTCTGGTTCACCTTCTAAAATTACCTAAACAAATTTTTTTGTAGATTTTGACATCCACAAGATATTTTCGTCTTAATTTCTTCGAATATTCCTAGGATATTTTCAAAATCTCCGATATAAAATTTGGCAGGTCAATTTGACTTTCAAACTAAATATTCTTAAAATTTGCTCCGAGATCATAAACGAGCTATATTTTTTTAATCAGCACGTCGAAAACTATATCCCAATTTTTTGTATATGTTGGTCAACTTTTCAGTTTTCGATCTTTAGACTTTTGAAAATTATCTGAAGATATTTTTTCTTAGATTTAGACGTTCAGAAATTACGTTTTTTTTTTCAAAGAAAATTTTTAAGATATTTCCCAAAATCGCCGATTTTTTGGGATGTACACAAAAATAAAATTCAAACCAGAATATTTCTAAAACACTTTCCGTATCGAATTTGGATGATTTTTCTTAGTTTTTACCATTTAGATTTTTTAGACTTATGCTCAATAATTTCCAAAAAAAAATCTGAGATTGCTCCAGGGTTTTCAAAATTCGTCTGCAGTCATCGAAATGTTGTATCTGGATTTTTTTCTATTTAGGTAATTTAGACCAAAACTCAATTTTTCAATTTTAACCTCCGGAGGTTATTTTCGGATTGAATACTCCTAACTTTTTTCCAAAATCGCCAATATAAATTTTAGTAGATTTTAGAATTTTTAAAAATTTTAGTTTTAAACCGAACAGTCTTAAAATCCGGCTCTAACATCATCAACACGCTATATTTTTCGAATCAGCACGTCGAAATCTGTATCCCAGAATTTTTGTGATTTTTTAATCAAGATTTCTAAAAAGTTTAATTTTTAAATTCTCGACTTTTAGACTTTGGAAAATTACCTGAAGAGATTCTTTTATAGATTTCGACTTCCACAAATTATTTTTAGTTTTCGTTCTTCGAAAATTTCCCAGAATCGTGTTTCTGGGATTGTGTTAAATAATTTCCAAAAAATATCCGAACATTGCTATAGGGCTTTCGATATCCAACTGCAGTTTTAAGACTGCTTTTTTGTATTTAGGTAATTTTTTTACAAAAACTCTGTTTCCCAAATTTCGACGTTTTTTCGTTCACCTCCTAAAATCACCTAAAGAATTTTTTTGTAGATTTTAACCTCCAGAAGTTATTTTCAGATTCCTTTCTTCGAATACTTTTAACATTTTCCCAAAATCTCTAATATAAAATTTAGCAGATTTTAGAATTTTTAAAAATATGATTTTCAAATTTTCGAACATTTTTCGACTTTCGAAAATTATCTGAAAAGATTTTTTCATAGATTTCAACCTCTACGAATTATTCTTAGCTTTTGTTCTTCGAAAATTTCTAATATATGTATATATTTTCGAAATATTGAAAAAGAGCATTTTTTGAGATGCGTAAAAAAATGTCTCCGAACCCGAATATTGCTAAAAGCGTTTTCCCTATTCAATTTAGATTATTTTTCTTAATTTCTACCACTTAGATTTTTTGCAGTTATTCTAAATAATTTCCAAAAAAATCTAAGATTGCTTCAGGGTTTTCGAAATTCATCGAAATTTTCTGTCTGGATTTTTTTTGTATTTAGGTAATTTTGACCTCCTAAAATTACCTAAAGAAACTTTTTGGTAGATTTTGGTCTCCAGAAGTTATTTTCGGAATTATTTCTTCTAATAGCTCTAACTTTTTTCCAAAATTTCCAATATAAAATTTAGCAGTTTTCAGAATTTTTAAAAATTTTATTTTCAAACTGAACATTCTTAAAATCTTGCTCGAAGACTATAAACAAGCTATATTTCCAGCACGCCGAAGTCGATATCCCAGAATTGTTTGGGAATTTTTGGTCAATTTTCAATTTTTTTTTTGACTTTCGAAAATTACGTGAAGAGATTTTTTTTTTAAGATTTCGACGTTCAGAAAGTATTTTTAGTTTTTGTTCTTTGAAAATGTCCAATAATATATTTTCGGACTATTGAAAAATAGCATTTTTTGAGATGTGTAAAAAAATGACTTCGAACCCTAAACCACTTTCCATATCGAATTTGGATTATTTTTCTTAATTTTTACAACTTAGATTTTCTGAAGTTACTGAATAATTTCCAAAAAAAATCAAAGATACTTTTTTTTTGTATTTAGGTAAGTTTGACCAACACTCAATTTCTCAATTTTCGACGTTTCCTCGATCACTTTCCAAAATCACATGAAGATTTTTTTTGGAAATTTTGACCTCCAGAACTTGGTTTCGGATTAATTTCTTCGAATATTCCTAGCATATTTCCAAAATCTCCAACATAAAATTTGGCAGTTTTTGGAATTTTAAAAATTTTATTTCATACCAAATATTTTTAAAATCTTGCTCGAAGATCATAAACGAGCTATATTTCCAGCACGCCGAAGTCGATATCCCTGAATTTTTTGTGAATTTTAGGTCAACTTTCAATTTTTTTTTGACTTTCGAAAATTACCTGAAGAGAGTTTTTCTTAGATTTCAACGTTCAGAAAGTATTTTTAGTTTTTGTTCTTGGAAAATGTCTAATAATACATTTTCGAAATATTGAAAAATAGCATTTTTGAGATGTGTAATAAATGACTTCGAAGCCTAAACCACTTTCCATATCGAATTTGGATTATTCTTCTTAATTTTTACAACTTAGATTTTCTGAAGTTACTGAATAATTTCCAAAAAAAATCAATGATAATTTTTTTCTGTATTTAGGTAATTTTGACCAAAACTCAATTTCTCAATTTTTGACTTTTTCTCGATCACACTCCAAAATTACATGAAGATTTTTTTTGAAATTTTGACCTTCAGAACTAAAGTTTCGGATTAATTTCTTCGAATATACCTAGCATTGTTCCAAACTCTCCAACATAAAATTTGTCAGTTTATGGAATATTAAAAATTTGACTTTCATACCAAATTTTTTTTCGACTTTCAAAAATTGCCTGAAGAGATTCTTTCTTAAGTTTCGACGTTCAGAAAGTATTTTTAGTTTTTGTTCTTTGAAAATGTCTAATATTTTTCCCAAAATCGCCGATTTTTTAAGATGTGCAAAAAAGTAGAATTCAAACCCGAATTTTTCGAATAAACACGATTTTTTTTATAATATTGTACCACTTAGTATGGCTGAATAATTTCCAAAAAAATATCCTATGATTCCTCTAGGGTTTTGGGGTTCAGTTCGTTATAATCTTTTACATATGAATTTTCTTTTATGTATTTAGATAATTTTGACATCAACTCAATTTCTTAATTTTCGACGTTTTTTCGATCACTTCCTAAAATTACCTGAAGACCTTTTTTGTAAATTTTTACTTCCGGATTATTTTCGGATTCATTTCTACGCATATTCCCAGCTTTTTCTTAAAATCTAGAATATAAAATTTAGCAGAATTTAGAATTTTTAAAAATTTGGTTTTTAAACTGAACATTCTGAGAATCTTGCGTCGAGATCATAAACACGTCATATTTTTCGAATCAGCATGTCGAGATCTATATCTCAGAATCTGTACTGCTCAGTTTTTCAATTTTCGACCTCCAGAAATAATTTTTGGAATTTATTGTTCGAAAATTTCGAACACCATTTTCCAAAATCGCCGATGTGAAATATGTAAAATGGCAATTTATGGGATTTGCAGAAAATGGAGCCAGTTTTTGACGTGACTTTTTCTACACTCTTAAAAAAATCGGAAACAACTGAATTTTCACCGTCTGCTTCTTATTATACACCCATTATAATTTTGTAGACATGATTATTAAACACTAGTAGTCCAAATTTTGCACGTTGTCAGTCCACTTAACGCTATTTAAAAATTAGGAAGCAAAAAACCTGTATTCATGTTTTCGCTGCTTTTGTAAAAAATCAGGCCAGAGTTGGTATCGCTGTGGAATATTTTGCAATTTTTACCGGCTTAGGATTTTAACGATTGATGCAGCGTCCTTTGAAGCCGTACAGCTGTCGTTTAGTTAAAGCTTGCTTCAAATTTCTATTCTACGATATTGATCTATCAGTGTTTTGATTGTCACAGCTATTTGGTTACATTCAGGACCTGATGGTTTCATTTTTTAACATCGATACTTCAATAATTTGTTTTAAAACACGAATCTCAGATAAAATTTTTTCATATGTGTGGTTCCTAGTTCTTGGACTGAAATTGGCTGTAGAATCCGGCTTCGGTTTGTTTCATATTTGCACTTCGGCTCGATTCCTTAATAAAAAAACGCACCACGACCCCTGAGCAACTATTAGCTGACATTTATTCGCCACCAGTCGACCCAGGTAAGTCAATAAAACTCTTCTTTGAATTTGAAATCTGTGGTGGCACACTTGCCGTCACGTAGATCGTCGTCAAAATAGCCCAGTAAATTTCATACTTTCGCTTGTTTGCGAATTGCGTATCCATACTTTAATTCAGTTTTTGCGTTTCAGCACGAAATGTATATTTCTGGCCCCGAAGGCACAGCACGCAACCTGGAAGAATATTTAATAACGCCGTTCGAATATAGAGAAACAAGTTTATAAGTAAGGCGTAATTATGGCAAAGACAGACGCTAAATAGTAACGATAATGGGCTTCAAGGAACAAGATAACCCGCGTTAAGAATCAGAGCAAGGCCGTAAACGCCGCCGAATTAAATTACTACCTGCCTCAGCACTAAAATTGTCTAATGCAAAACAAAATGATGGCAGTTTCGCGGAATTCGTTTAGAGAGAGATAAATTAAATTGAAGTAACCTGCCTATTATAAAGTATGAATGTCAATTATCTAGAGGAACTTGAGAGGAATTTATCGAATTTCTGGCAGTGAAGCTTTTAGAACATCAAAAGACATCAACTTTAATTACACTGACGGTCTGTCATGTTGACCGAATTGCCTCTTCTCCTAATTCCATCATTCTGCAGATGATCCCAGAACCAATTAACTAATTGATATGAACTACTTGTTCGAAATCTGGTGGTATCCTGTACCTCCCTTAAGCAAGGCGTCTTCTTACACGCATTTATTAAAGATGCAAAATAAGGCAAGGAGAACAGTGGCGTCGAATGCGATTTCAATATATTTTTACTCGACGTTTCATGACCTCCAAAAATGTGGTCTCCCGTTTCCGTTTGTCTGTCTATCTGTCGCCTATATCAATTTTTAGTAGATACCTAATCTCATCATTTTTCATCCGAGAGAAGGATTTAAAAAAAAATCAGCACAACACATTCAAAATTATTCGAAAGCTATCGGTGTTTTATTTTTGATACTCAATGTAAATTGTTGAATTATAAAAATTGGTCTAAAGTTATTTAGACAGCATTTTCCTCGCTCTTGAAGTCTAGTATAACATACTCAGTTTTGTCAGATAACTGTAAGATTCGATTTAGATAGTTTTTTGCTGATAACGCAGTAAAGAGATCCATCTGGCGAATGACTAATTTTATGTTTTCTCGACGTTTCTCCATTTTATAACACAATTTTTGGTTTCTTTATTTCCTTTATTTTTTTTTTTGTTGTTTCTTTCGATTTACTATTCTTTATTTATTCAATTTTTCAGGCTTTCATTTTTCAATTCCATGATTTACATCATAAACTTTTTCGGTTTTTTATTTTTGATTTTTCAATTTTACAGTTTCTTGACTTCTAAATTTTTAAATTTTTCGAATTGTAATTTTTTAATTTTGCAATTTGTCGATATTACAGTTTCTCATTTTACGATTTTTCACATTCTTAGTTTTTAATTTTTGTCATTTTCAATTTTTCGTGTTCTCAATTTTTCAAGATCTCGATTTTTATTTTTCATTTTCCTGATTTTTTTAATTTTCATTTTCTCGATTCTATGTCACAAATTTTCATTTTTTCAATTCCTTTATTTTTTGTTGTTTCTTCGGATTTTTCAATTTTTCGTTTCTTCAATTTTTCGTTTCCACAATTTTTCATGTTCCCGATTTTGATTTTTCAGTGTGGCGAGTTTTTAATTTTTATTTTCTCGATTTATATCACAATTGTCCGTTTCTTCATTTCCTTTATTTTCTGTGTTTTTTTCGATTTTACAATTTTTCATTTGTACAATTTTTCAAATTTTCAGGCTTTGAATTTTCAGTTCGTCCATTTTTCAATTTTTAAATGTTTCAGTTTGCGGTTTTTGGATTTCCAGTCTTCCGATTTTCCAATTTCTTTAATTTTAAATATTTCTATTTCATAATACATTTCTTTTTTTTTGGATTTTTCATTTTATCGATTCTTAAGATTTTTCAAGTTTTTATTCTGTAATTTTTCGTTTTTTATTTTTGATTTTTCGATTTTACAATTTCTCGTTCCCTCAATTTTTCGGTTTGCACCAGTTTTTCATTTTTCAATTTAGCAATTTTTCAATATTACAGATTTTCATTTTTCGATTTTTCAGTTTCTCAATTTTTTATTTTCCCGATTTCTTAATTTTCACTTTTTCTAATTTATACCACAATTTTCCTTTTTTTGATTTCCTTTATTTTTTGTTGTTTCTTTCGATTTTACAATTTTTCTTCAAATTTTCAAGTTTGATTTTCACTTTGTACATTTTTTAAGTTTTATTACACACTTTTTCGTTTTTTTATTTTTGATTTTTCAATTTTACAATTTATCGACTTCCTAATTTTCCAATTTTTCAATATTACAATTTCTCATATTTTCATTTTTCACATTCTCGATTTTTAATTGTGATCTCATTTTTTCGATTTTATATCGAAATTGTTTGTTTTTTCATTTCCTTAATATTTGTTGTTTCTTTCGATTTCCCAATTTTTCGTTTATTCAATTTTCAAATTTTCAGGCCAATCGATTCCAATTCGTCGATTTTCCAATTTTTAAATTTTTCAGTTTGCAGTTTTTGGGTTTCCACCCCGTTTTTACTTTTTGGATTTTCAATTTTTCGTTAAACTTTAAATTTCTCAAATTTTCGACAGCTTTATACTTGTTTTTTTCAACTTTACGATGTTTTGATTTTTCTTTTTTAAAATGTTTCAATTTTTTTTTATTTCTCGATTTATCGAGTTCAGATGTTTGGATGTTTTGATTGCTCAATTTATCAATTTCCCAATTTTTTTCTATTTCTCGATGTTTCGATTTTTGGATTTCTCGGTTTTTAGATTTTCCAATTTTTCGATGTTTTGATTTTTCAGTTATCCAATTTTTCAATTTTTTTTAATTCTGGAGTTTCGATTTGTCGATTTTTCAGTTTTTCGATTTTTAAGTTTCAGATTTTCGAATTTTTCTTTTTTGATTTTTTGATTTCCCAGTTCTTCAGTATTTCTATTTTACAATTTTTCAAATTTTGACGTTGCTAAATTTTCAGTTTTCCGATTTTTCGATTAATATAATTTTTTTTTATTTTGAAAAATCTAGATTGTAAAGAATCGAAAAATTAAATGACCCAAAAATTGAGCCATGGTGAAACCGTAACATCAAAAAGTCGAAAAATGGAAAATGTAAAAAGGCGAAAATTCAAAATAAAAAATCGAAAAATTGAAGGATTTGAAAATTTCCAAAAAATAAAACATCGAAAAATTGGAAAATCGGAAAGGTCGAGAAATCAAAACATCAAATCCTGGAAAAATTTTAAATTTAAAAATTCCAAAAATCTAAAATACAAAGAAAACCGAAAAGTTAAAAGATCGAAAAATTGACAAATTGAAAACTCTAAAATTTAAAAAACCGACAAATTAAAATATCACAAAAATTGATGGAGATTCCAAAGTTTCCAGACTCTCTAAAGATTCTAGAGATTCAAAAGATGCTACTAATTAAAAAAATTATACAGAATCTAGAAATTCCAGAAATTGTACTAGTTTTAGAGTCTGGCCATTCTAAAAATTCGACAGGTTCGAACAATTCGAAGGATTCTATAGATTCTAGAGTTTTTAGAGGTTCTAGAGGTTCTCGAAATTCTGGGGAAACCAAAGATTTATCGAATTCAGATGTTTGGATGTTTTGATTGCTCAATTTCTCAATTTTTTCTATTTCTGGATGTTTCGATTTTTGGGTTTCTCGGTTTTTCGATTTTCCAATTTTTCGATGTTTCGATTTTTCAGTTATCCGATTTTTCAATTTTTTTTAATTCTGGAGATTCGATTTGTCGATTTTTCAGTTTTTCGATTTATCGGTTTTTCGTTTTTTTACTTTTCGGCTTTTCGATTTATTACTTACCGACTCTCTACTTTTACGTTTTCTCGGTCTTTCATGAGCCCTAGAGGACGAAGAAATAGGTCTCCCGTTTCCGTCCGTCTGTCCGTCTGTTCGTCTGTCCATCTGTGCGTCTGTTTTTTTATTAGACAGATATTCTGCGAAAGTACTGGACCGATTGTTGCGAAATTTTGTACTTGTATTAGGAATATCATATAGATGGCAAAACGCTAACCAAAATTTGTCTAATCATCCCCACTACCAATGCGATGATGTCAGTTCAAAATTGTACATAGTAAATGGGTTTTAAGTTGTATGAAATAACATAGTCCTACACATGTAGTTTATGACTCCGAATTGAGTTTTTACCTGAAACGTTCAGATTTTTGAATAAAAAAATCAAAATTATGAAACAACATTTTGCAATTTAATTTTGAATCTGCTAACCCGAATGCTTTGAAATCTTGCAGATGGTTTACAGTTATGATAAGTATGATAAATTTTTAATCAAAATATATTTACTTATTCCCTCCAAAAAATTGATGACGTGAGCTCAAAAGTTTGCCGAATAAATCCTATCTAAAGTGTACAAAATATGATGAGTCTGTACTTGTGATTTATCATTCCATTCATATTTTTTGAAATTGCATATACAGGGTGAACCAAAAAAAATAATGAATGGCTGAATGTATTTTATTGATTTAATCAGGAACTACCAAACTGAATGCTTTGAAATCTTGGAGATGTTTTAAAGTTATCATAGGCATTATAAATTTATAGTCAAAATGTATTTGCTCATCCCCTCAAAAAAATCAATGACATCACCTCTAAATTTTGCTGAATAAATCCTATCTTAAATGTGCAAAATATGATGAGTCTGTACTTGTGATTTATCACTCCATTCATATTTTTTGGATTTGCATATACAGGGTGACTCAAAAAATTAATGTTTATATTTAAATGAGTCTTGAAGTTGGTTGTTTATGAAAAGTTTTAAATATATTTTGAGGACTGCTGGTGTTTTGTTTCAGAACGAATTTAAAAGAACCTTGGAGACACGTGGTGTTTTCTTCTTAAACAAATCTTAAATCCAGATATTTTGAATCGAGATTTGAAAAGCTGTTGCGGGGATCTTTAAAAAAGAAAAAGGATCTTCTAGTATCTTGTTTTTAAAAAAAATTTAAAGAATCTTGAGGTTCCTAATGTTCTTTTTGAAGAATATAAACAAATTTTATGTTAAAACTAGAAGAAGCTTAGAATTCTCTACTATTTCGTTTTCAGAAGAATTTGAAAGAGTTGTTGAATCTCTAATGTCCTTTTGAAAAAAAAAAATAAATAAAAATTAGGACCCCCGCTTGAATTTTGAAAAAAATTGTACGAATCTTGAGAACTCCTAGTGGTGGAATTTGAAAGAGTGTTGGGTCTCTAATATCATTTTGAAAAAAAAAAATAAAAATTAGGACCCCCGCTTGAATTTTGAAAAAAATTGTACGAATCTTGAGAACTCCTAGTTGTGTTTTTGAGCGAATTGGAAATAATCTTGGAAACTTTTAGACCGAGATAAAAGTGCCTTGATGTTTTCTAGTATTTTGTTTTCAACAGAATTCGAAAGAATTTTGTGGTCCCTATTGTCTTTTTGGACGAATTCTGCAAGAAATTTAGGATTCCTTTGTATTTTGTTTTCAAGAGAATTTAAAAGAATTTTGGGTCTCCAATTGTTCTGTCTGAAGAATTTGGAAGAATTTTGGGGCCTCGATTTTTGGGGATCTATGGCAACAGATAATAGTGATTTGAGATCCTCTTATGTTTTGTTTTTAAGAAAATTCGATACAAATTTGTAGTCCTCGTGCGTTTTTTGGCAGATTTTAAAAACGTTTGGGACGTCTGTGGTTTGGTTTACGAAAAAAATTCTTGTATCCTGTTTTGGATAGAATTTGAAAAAATCTTGATGTTCTTAGTGTTCTTTTTTAAAGAAATTGGAAGAACCTTGGGAACTTCTTGTGCAGTTTTTGAATGAATTGAAAATAAACTTAAAGTCGTTTAGTGTTTTGCTTTCAAGAAAATTTCATAGAAATTTTGGCTCCCTATTGCATCTTTTTTTGGTTTTTGAAAGAATATAGAAAAACTTTGGAATCCTCTGTACCTTGTTTTCACAAGAATTTGAAAGAATCTTGGGCTCCCTAGTTTTCTTTTTGAAGAATTTCAAAGAATTTTTGTGATATTGATATTTGGTTGTTGCAAGAAACTTGAGGACCTTTGGAAATAGATAAAAGTGTCTTCGAGTCCTCTAATGTTTTGTTTTCAAGAGAATTCGAAAAAAAAATTCAGGTCCCTAGTGTCTTTTTTGACGGATTTGAAAGAATATTCCATATTGTTTGGTTTTTGAAAAAAAAAAAAATAGTATACACTAGTATCTTGGGGTCCTTTGGAAACAGATCAATGTGATTTGGGGTCCCTAGTATTCTTTTTTACGAATTTGATAAAATTTTGGTGTCCCCCAATGTTCGGTTTTTGAAAGAAAATGAAAGAATCTTGTGAATTCCTGGTACTGTTTCTGAACAAATTGGAACGAAACTTGTCCGACCCGACCCGACCCGACCCGACCGATTAAAGGATTCAACAGACAGACAGACTGACTGACTACTGACTGACTGACTGACTGACTGACTGACTGACTGACTGACTGTCTGATTCAGTCAGTCCGCCTGTCAGGCAGTCTGTTCAGCCTGTCGGTCATTTACTCTGTCAGTCATTCGATTAGTTTGTTCAAACACTTAATCAGTCTATTCAGTTAGTCAGTCAGTCAGTCAGTTTGCTCAGAGAGTCAGCTAGCCTGTTTTGTAAGTCAGTCAGTCAGTCTATTCAATCAGTCAGTCAGTCAGCCTATTCAGAAGGACGAACAGGACGAGCAGGATGAAAAGGACGAACAGGTCAAAAAGGACGAATACGACGGCAAGAACGAACAGGACGAAAGGGAAGAAAAGGACGAAAAGGACGAAATTGGCGAAAATGACGAAACGGACGAAAGGGATGAAAAGGACGAGAAGGATGAAAAAGATAAAGGGACCAAAAATACCAGAAGGACGAAAAGAACGAACAGGACGAAAATGACGAAAGGGAGGAAAAGGACGAGCAGGACAAAGAGGACAAACAGGACAAACAGGCAAACAAGACAAACAGGACAAGCAGGATAAACAGGACGAAAAGGATGAAAAGGATGAAAGGAACGAAAAGAACGAACAGGACCAAAAGAACGGAAAGGACGAAAAGGACGAACAGGACGAACAGGACTAACAAGACGAAAAGGACCAAGAGGACAAAAATGGCGAGGACGAAAAGAACGAAAAGGACGAAAAGGAGGAAAAAAACGAGAAGGGCGAAAAGGACGGAGTGCGTAAATTTATTTTATTGATTTACTCAGGAACTACAAAACCAAATGCTTTGAAATCTTGAAGATGTTTTAATGTTATCATAAGCATGGTAAGTTTTTGATCAAAATGTATTTACTCATTCCCCCTAAAAAATTGATGATGTCACCATAAAATTTTGCTGAATAAATCCTATATAGAATGTACAAAATATGATGAGTCTCTTCTTGTGATTTATCGTCCCATTAATATTTTTTGGATTTGCATATACAGAATGACCCAAAAAAATTAATGAATGCATAAATCTATTTCATTGATTTAATCAGGAACTACAGAACCGAATGTTCTGAGAACTTGCAGACGTTTTAGGGTTATAAAGTGCATAAAAAACTTTTAGTCAAAATATATTTGGTTATATCCTCCAAAAAATTGATGACGTCAGCTCAAAAGTTTGCCGAATAAATCCTATCTAAAATGTATAAAATGTGATGAGTTTGTATTTTGTTTTCAAGAGAATTTAAAAGAATTTTGGGTCTCCAATTGTTCTGTCTGAAGAATTTGAAAGAATTTTGGGGCCCCGATTTTTGGCGATCTATGACAACAGATAAAAGTGATTTGAGATCCTCTTATGTTTTGTTTTTAAGAAAATTCGATAAAAATTTGTATACCTCGTGCGTTTTTTGGCAGATTTTAAAAAATTTTGGGACGTCTGTGGTTTGGTTTACGAAAAAAATTCTTGTATCCTGTTTTGGATAGAATTTGAAAAAATCTTGATGTTCTTAGTGTTCTTTTTGAAAGAAATTGGAAGAACCTTGGGAACTTCTTGTGCAGTTTTTGAATGAATGGGAAATAAATTTAAAGACCTTTATAAAGAGATAAAAGTGCTTTTGGGTCGTTTAGTGTTTTGCTTTCAAGAAAATTTCAAAGAAATTTTGGCTCCCTATTGCACCTTTTTTTGGTTTTTGAAAAAATATAGAAAAACTTTGCAATCCTCTGTACCTTGTTTTAACGAGAATTTGAAAGAATCTTGGGCTCCCTAGTTTTCTTTTTGAAGAATTTGAAAGAATTTTTGTGATTTGATATTTAGTTGTTGCAAGAAATTGGAAGAAACTTGAGGACCTTTGGAAATAGATAAAAGTGTCTTCGAGTCCTCTAATGTTTTGTTTTCAAGAGAATTCGAAAAAAAATTGAGGTCCCTAGTGTCTTTTTTGACGAATTTGAAAGAATATTCCCTATTGTTTGGTTTTTGAAAAAAAAATAGTATACACTAGTATCTTGGGGTCCTCTGGAAAGAGATCAATGTGATTTGGGGTCCCTAGTATTCTTTTTGACGAATTTGATAACATTTTGGTGTCCCCCAATGTTCGGTTTTTGAAAGAAAATGAAAGAATCTTGTGAATTCCTGGTACTGTTTCTGAACAAATTGGAACGAAACTTGTCCGACCCGACCCGACCCGACCGATTAAAGGACTCAACAGACAGACAGACTGACTGACTGACTGACTGACTGACTAACTGACTGACCGACTGACTCATTCAGTCAGTCCGCCTGTCAGGCAGTCTGTTCAGCCTGTCGGTCATTTACTCTGTCAGTCATTCGATTAGTTTGTTCAAACACTTAGTCAGTCTATTCAGTTAGTCTGTCAGTCAATCAGTCAGTCAGTCAGTCAGTCTATTCAGAATGCTAGTAAGTCAGCGAAAGTTAGTCAATCTATTTAGACTGTCAGTCGTTCAGTCACTCTGTTCAGACAATCTGTCAGGCAGTCTGTCAAACAGTAAGTCAGTCAGTCAGTCAGCCTATTCAGAAGGACGAACAGGACGAGCAGGATGAAAAGGACGAACAGGACAAAAAGGGCGAATACGACGGAAAGAACGAACAGGACGAAAGGGAAGAAAAGGACGAAAAGAACGAAATTGACGAAAATTACGAAACGGACGAAAGGGATGAAAAGGACGAGAAGGATGAAAAGGACGAACAGGACGAACAAAACTAACAGGACGAAAAGAACGGAAAGGACGAAGAGGACAAAAATGGCGAGAACGAAAAGAACGACAAGGACGAAAAGGAGAAAAAAAAACGAGAAAGACGAAAGGACGAGAATGACGAAAAGGACGAAAAGGACGGAGTGCTAAAATTTATTTTATTGATTTACTCAGGAACTGCAAAACCGAATGGTTTGAAATCTTGAAGATGTTTTAATGTTATCATAAGCATGGTAAGTTTTTGATCAAAATGTATTTGCTCATTCCCCCTAAAAAATTGATGACGTCACCACAAAATTTTGCTGAATAAATCCTATATAGAATGCACAAAATATGATGAGTCTCTTCTTGTGATTTATCGTTCCATTAATATTTTATGGATTTACATATACAGAATGACCCAAAAAAATTAATGAATGCATAAATCTATTTCATTGATTTAATCAGGAACTACAGAACCGAATGTTCTGAGAACTTGCAGATGTTTTAGGGTTATAAAGAGCATAAAAAATTTTTAGTCAAAATATATTTGGTTATATCCTCCAAAAAATTGATGACGTCAGCTCAAAAGTTTGCCGAATAAATCCTATCTAAAATGTATAAAATGTGATGAGTTTGTATTTTGTTTTCAAGAGAATTTAAAAGAATTTTGGTTCTCCAATTGTTCTGTCTGAAGAATTTAAAGAATTTTGGGGCCCCGATTTTTGGCGATCTATGACAACAGATAAAAGTGATTTGAGATCTTCTTATGTTTTGTTTTTAAGAAAATTCGATAAAAATTTGTAGTCCTCGTGCGTTTTTTGGCAGATTTTAAAAAATTTTGGGACGTCTGTGGTTTGGTTTACGAAAAAAATTCTTATATCCTGTTTTGGATAGAATTTGAAAAAATCTTGATGTTCTTAGTGTTCTTTTTGAAAGAAATTGGAAGAACCTTGGGAACTTCTTGTGCAGTTTTTGAATGAATTGGAAATAAATTTAAAGACCTTTATAAAGAGATAAAAGTGCTTTTGGGTCGTTTAGTGTTTTGCTTCCTCCCTATTGCACCTTTTTTTGGTTTTTGAAAGAATATAGAAAAACTTTGGAATCCTCTGTACCTTGTTTTCACGAGAATTTGAAAGAATCTTGGGCTCCCTAGTTTTCTTTTTGAAGAATTTGAAAGAATTTTTGTGATATTGATATTTGGTTGTTGCAAGAAATTGGAAGAAACTTGAGGACCTTTGGAAATAGATAAAAGTGTCTTCGAGTCCTCTAATGTTTTGTTTTCAAGAGAATTCGAGGAAAAAATTGAGGTCCCTAGTGTCTTTTTTGACGGATTTGAAAGAATATTCCCTATTGTTTGGTTTTTGAAAAAAAAATAGTATACACTAGTATCTTGGGGTCCTTTGGAAAGAGATCAATGTGATTTGGGGTCCCTAGTATTCTTTTTGACGAATTTGATAAAATTTTGGTGTCCCCCAATGTTCGGTTTTTAAAAGAAAATGAAAGAATCTTGTGAATTCCTGGTACTGTTTCTGAACAAATTGGAACGAAACTTGTCAGACCCGACCCGACCCGACCCGACCGATTAAAGGATTCAACAGACAGACAGACTGACTGACTGACTGACTAACTGACTGACTGACTGTCTGATTCAGTCAGTCCGCCTGTCAGGCAGTCTGTTCAGTCATTCGATTAGTTTGTTCAAACACTTAGTCAGTCTATTCAGTTAGTCGGTCAGTCAGTCAGTCAGTCAGTCAGTCAGTCAGTCTATTCAGACTGCTAGTAAGTCAGCGAAAGTTAGTCAATCTATTTAGACTGTCAGTCGTTCAGTCACTCTGTCACTCTGTTCAGACAATCTGTCAGGCAGTCTGTCAAACAGTAAGTCAGTCAGCCTATTCAGAAGGACGAACAGGACGAGCAGGATGAAAAGGACGAAAAGGACAAAAAGGGCGAATACGACGGAAAGAACGAACAGGACGAAAGGGAAGAAAAGGACGAAAAGAACGAAACTGACGAAAATGACGGAACGGACGAAAGGGATGAAAAGGACGAGAAGGATGAAAAGGATGAAAGGGACCAAAAATACCAAAAGGACGAAAAGGACGAAAAGGGCGAAAAGGACGAACAGGACTAACAGGACGAAAAGAACGAAAAGGACGAAGAGGACAAAAACGGCGAGGACGAAAAGAACGACAAAGACGAAAAGGAGAAAAAAAAACGAGAAAGACGAAAAAGGACGAGAATGACGAAAAGGACGGAGTGCGTAAATTTATTTTATTGATTTACTCAGGAACTACAAAACCGAATGCTTTGAAATCTTGAAGATGTTTTAATGTTATCATAAGCATGGTAAGTTTTTGATCAAAATGTATTTACTCATTCCCCCTAAAAAATTGATGATGTCACCACAAAATTTTGCTGAATAAATCCTATATAGAATGTACAAAATATGATGAGTCTCTTCTTGTGATTTATCGTTCCATTAATATTTTTTTGGATTTGCATATACAGAATGACACAAAAAAATTAATGAATGCATAAATCTATTTCATTGATTTAATCAGGAACTACAGAACCGAATGTTTTGAGAACTTGCAGATGTTTTAGGGTTATAAAGAGCATACAAAATTTTTAGTCTAAATATATTTGGTTATATCCTCCAAAAAATTGATGACGTCAGCCCAAAAGTTTGCCGAATAAATCCTATCTAAAATGTATAAAATGTGATGAGTCTGTACTTGTAATTTATCATTCCATCTATATTTTTTGAATGTGCATATACAGGGTGACTCAAACAAATTAATGAACGCGTAAATATATTTTATTGATTTACTCAGAAACTACAAAACCGAATGCTTTGAAAT